AGTCTTTGAAACACTCACGTCAACACATTTCACACTGCATAATATGACATTGTATTCAAAATTGGCAAATTTTCACTGACGAATACCATCTCTGAAAAAAACGCAGCCTAAATAGTAAAATTTTCAACAATATACATATTACATATGTATGAGATATTTGTTATTAGAATTACAGATATTATATAGCTAAAATAATCTCTTTAAGTTGTAGCTTTTTTCTTACCTATACGTAGTTATTATATGTTAATTTGTGTCTTAAGTATTTTATTCAATAACGTACAAGTTTTATACCTTACGAAAGTCATATTTCTTCACTATAGGCACGGCAAATTTGATGGAGAACGAAACATCCAGAGCGGTGGACTCCAGTCGGCTCGCCAATCGGACAGGCACGCGAATTCAAGGGTGGCGGACTCCGGTCGGCCCGAGAAGGTCAGGAAGAAGTCCTAATTGTTAATGCAAAACTTAGAATGCTTGAACGGGGTAAGTCGGGGAGCTGTCCCGTCTGCCTCCTATGTATATATTAATTTTGATACCGTCAATAAACGATGGCGGCGCCGCGGAAGCAATGCGAAAGCAGATCCCGCGGCGTCGTCGGTTAAAACAGGAAAAAAAAAAAAGGCACGGCAAATTAGTTATCTACTAGATAACTCTGCTATTGGTTCATTTTTATTTTAATAATAGTATAAAGCACAGGAACTAGTTAACATTACTGATTAGCAAGTGTGTTTATTTTATTTCAATATTTTATAAATATTGTTTGAATCAATTATTTTTAATATTAATTAATGTAAAATATATTAATTCCTGAAATATTGTGTTAAGAAAATAAATAATTATTGCAATAAATTAGAGTTAGATAATATGTTATGTGAGTATCTATATTTAAAAAATAATTTAGTATAATAACTGCAAGCCAGGGCTAGTCAATGACAACACCTAGGTTTGAATAACTACAAAATTTAAGGATATTTGCAGAACGCCTGTGCGGTCTATACATTACACAATATTATATATAAAGATACTAGCTATGCTAGTATAAAAGTATTATTTTGGTTATCACTCGTACGGGGTTAGGATAGTGAGTTTACCACTCTGTGAAAATTTTTTTTTTTTAGATACAACTATAATATAATGTAATATTAATATATAATAGAACAATGAAAAATATACAACACTAAATTAATAGTGTCCTGCAACTGCTAACTTTGAATTTTAAAAAAATTACAAGTTCTAAATTAAAATTGTGTCTTGTGAGAAATCACTTATAACGGGTATTTCTAAATTAAACCATTTAATAAATGTCTATTTCAAGTAGGTACTTAAAAATAGGTTATAATTATAAAATTACATTTAGAATTATATTTGTATATTATTTGATCTCTCCGCTCTCGTATTTTATGCATTTGCTCTCAGAAATAATGTGTTTACACAGGGGTAGCTTATTATTTTTCATGAAATTAAATTTTTATTTGAAGTATAAAAAATAAATTTAAGTACCAAAAAAATATGAAACCAAAATTAATTACTTTAAACATCGACGCTTTCGGGCTTCGGCGGAATTCCTGATATTGTGTGTGCACTGCAGAATAAATCAGAAATACGACAGAACTAAAAAAAAATAAAAAAAATATTGAGATTTATTACGAAAAAAAAACCGTGGGATCGCTTCATGTTTCTTGTTCATGTCTGCTGCTTTTCTAACTGAAATTTTAGATCGATTGCGTCTTAGCAACTACTTCGACAAACGCCACGGATTGCATTATAATTTATACTACGTCAATATGATACAACCATAGATATATGGTATATTAAAAATTTAGATTTTTAGATACAATTCTGTCGCGAGTCAATTTTTACGTCCGGCGTCTAACAATATTGTTTTTAGTCTTAACGGTTAAACTATAACTCAACATAAAGTCATAAAACCCTAAAGGTGTCGAGACTTGAAAAGAATTCAAAAATAGGCTTTGAAATTTACAGAAGTAATAAAAAATGGATACTTTAATCGTGCCTATAATATTCTCTCTAGTCTCTAGGCTCGGCATTAATATATTATGAAACAATATTATTCTATAATAGCGTGCAGTCACCGATGTATTTGTTACAAAATTGTGTGGTTATATTATACTACTACACTGTAGCGTAATAAATAATATAATATGTATACTGTATACAGCCGAGTAGGTACCTAACTTAGGCTCTCACATAAAGGTAAGTGACAGGGTAAAAAAAATGTATTGCTTCCCTCGTACCTACCTATATTTATTGTTTTATATTTTAAAAACTTACCCTACAAATTAAGTACTAAAAGTATAGTTTATACTTTGCAGAGGTCGCTGTGGGTATTTCTTAAAATAGGTAGTATTTAAAAAAAAAAATCATCAACATTTTAGGTTAGTTAGTTAGGTATACACATGAATTTACTAGACCAATTTGAATTAGTTAATGCCAAAAAAGTTGTTAAATTAAGTACCTATTGTGACATGTCACATTGTACCATGCTGATATAGTAACACATGATCCAAGTGATATACATTTCCAATAACATTAAGATGTAACAATTAATGCTGAATACTGTTAAATGCTTTTAATTATGTGTTCAACAACAATTATTCGTAATATTTTTTTGTTTTAAAGGCACTAAGGCAGTTTCCAAAACGTACATATATTAAGTAGTAGCATTAGTCTTAAGTTAGTAAACTAGGTTTGAATATAAAATAATTATTTATAAGTATGGAAATATCCAGTATCCAAGAATTCAATATTTCCATTTTTCATTTTAATAGATGAAATTTCAATTAAAATAATGTAAAAAAAATTATTTTGTAGACATATCAAAATGACAATAAATAAAAATCATCTACATCCTATATAGAGTTAATCAATCACCTAGGGAAATTTTATTTTAAAAAAAATATCTTAGCAAATTGAAAATGGCAATTGATTTCTTAAATAATAATTTAAGAATTTCATATTTTATTATATTGTTTATATCTATGAATAAGAAAAATAGCAATTAAATACAAAAATATTAAGTTCAAAAAAATACAAAATTTGTTTGTTTGTTTTTTTTAAAAATATTTTATTTGTAATATATATTTATATATTTGTGGGATTATTGTATAATTTAGTTTTTTGAAATAGTAGGTTGTTGTACATCAACTGTCAAAAGTAGCTGAAGTTGCAATTTAAGAACATTATTTGTTCAAAATATTGATCCGTCATATTTGTTCTTTTTTTGTATTGTTGCTTCACCAACACAAAACAATCTCTTCTCTACTGATGCACTGCTAGGTAGTGGAGTGTTGTGCTTCACAAATACCTGAAAACTAAGTACAAATGTTATTGTAATATTACCACTAATAGTATAAGGAGTTTTCAATTAATCTAACTTTTTTGATAGTGGGTAAATTATGCAAACATTCTAAAGTCTTTGTTGGAGATGTGCCCAAATCTATTACATCACAAACTGTTGATTTTACCTCGCAGGAATTTTATGATCCGGTAAAAAAGGTAGATAAATTATCTTACATTTGGTTATCTTCTACATCATTGTTGTCATTATCACTGGTATTTAAGTCATAACGGGCACTTTTTTAATATTCTGAGGCCAATTGCTTTTTTATATCATTTTTAATCCATGCTTTTTTAGATAGTGGGAGGCAGACTGCAGCAGTAATTAAAAACTTGTCTATCAAATAATCGGCAAACCTAGTTTTTATACCTAAAAAACAAAAATTATTATCAATAAAGTTTGTTTATTTTAGCTCATGAGTATATAAATGTAGGTACTACACAGAAATATAAATATAAATAATAGATCAGCTGATTAAAATTTTACATTATACATCAGTAAAACTGTAAGAACTAAGAGATACTATATATTTACTACTTAGTTAATAGTATTTCCCAATAAAGTAAACCAAAAACAGCTAAAATGAAAAGAAATTAAATGTATACAATTTAAGTACTTGGCTAAATAAGATAAATGTATTTAAAAAACATTAATTATTACATACCAATAGGTATGGCAGTCACCAGAGATTTCAAATAATTAGAAACTGTTTGATCACTTTTCATTAATTCATATTTATAAATTAATTCTTCAATTATAGGTAGGAAATGACCAAAGTACATGTTAGTATCACCTTGGTGTAAATCCAAGCTTAATGAAATAGGGCCCATAATTGTTTGATATTGACACATGAAATAAATATCACTTCTATTAAATCTGAAAATATTGTTCATAAAATATTTAGATAAAATAATTAATAATTTTTAAGATTTACAATTTACCTGCCAAAAGCCAATTTGTCCATTATTATTCTAAACTTAAGTTCATTATTTTAAATTAATTTATTAAGCAGCACCACTGAATCATACAGTGAATTCCAACGTGCCTCGATGGGTGTAATTAAATAAACACCAAGATTTTGTTTAAATAAATCAGCTGACTTAGTTGAGCAACCTTGTTTATTCCACAAAGCGGTAGACTTGGCAAATGTGCTTCTTGACGGTTTTTTGTATGCAATATTAGACAAAGCTTCTTTAGAGTCCTAGAAAAAACAAGTTATACAAATAAATTATTTTATTTTGTGTTTAATTTGTACAAATTTGTCATTAATAATAAAAAATCAAACAAACATAATTTATTGATATTTAAAATTGAAATTTGGGTATAGATAATAGAAAATAGTTAATGTCAATCATACTCATAATTATATCTTAGAATATTTTTTTTCGTAAATTTTTATCATTTAAATTGAAAAAAAATTTAATTTTTAAATGTATTACAACTCATACAAATTTGATTATGATTATTAAGTGTTAAACCTACTACCTAATAGTTTTGTCCTAATCGCTATACTTACGCAAAATATATTCTTTTCGATAAAAATATCTTTAGTATTTTATAATTTAACTATATTAGGTTATCTACTTAAATAAATGTTTAATTACCATTGTTGCTATTAAAGTTATTGTGTGCGCACAACATCGATGGTGTGCATATGGCAAATCATGGTCTTCATATTTTAGAATCGAATCTACCACGGTCATCACTGTACATACCAACTCTAATGGATTGAGAGTTCCGCACTCGGGAAAACGCTACATACAGTTGTCCGTGCGTGAACACCGGTGATGGCAGGAGAAATCCAACTCTATCAAGCATTTGGTTCTATCAACAATTTTTTAATGAGTGAGTAGTAATTATAATGTAAACTATAAATTTTTAAACAAAAATGTTGCACTACTGTCTACACGAATGTGTATTCAATGCAATGTTAGCCAAAGTTATTCGTTTTATCATATAGAAATACGTTAATGTGCAATACCTATACTAATGTAATGTGTGTTCAACACACTACAACTAGAAAAATTTTTATTTGATTTTACAAATATAGTTTGTTAATGACTCATTAATAATGAGTGTGATGTACGCATTTTGCTAGATTATGTATAATATGTTAATAATTTAAAGTAATATATATTACTTGAAAGCCACCGCAAATGGATTGATTCGCCGTAACAGTCTACCTAAGTCTGCAAGCAAGTTAGTGGTCGTTCACATGGCTGTTGTGCCAAGCGAATGTGATTTTATGCCCCGGATTCAATAAAATACAACTCACAATACCTTGGTTGCATTAGTTCATTTGTGACAACATCATTGCTAATCCTACGATACACTTGCCCGTGAACAGAGAATACTCTTGGTCCCTGACCAAGCAAACGTCTTGGGCTCAGATCAGTGGAAATAGCCGCAAATGCCAGAGTGTTGTTGTACCGGCGGATTTCTTTCCAAAAGTATTTTGCTACCTGCGAATCATCAACCAACAAACGAATTAATAACTCTGGTGGTGGACCCAAAACACGGTCTCCTGTAACAGCCATTTGACCGTTATTGCAACACGTAAAAAAATGACCCATTGAAGTACGCTTGCAGGAGAAATGTCGGGCACCACAGTGCCAGCAGACAACATTCAATGGTCCTATGTCATGCCGTCTGGAAGTTTGTGTTGAATGCCAGCCGGACGGTCTCTCAAGGGTGCACATGCTCTCGGTACAACAGGAGGAATCGGTGCGAATATAATGGAACTGCAATTAAAATGCACAGTTATTAAGAATATAATGTTATTAACTTATAAATGTTTTTTTTAATTTTAATAAGATGTATTTACTAACTTCTTCATTGACGTCTGGTAGTAAAACATCAAGTGCATCCCTGAATTCAAATTCTGCCTCTGCATCAGCAGGAAGTAAATCCACATACTCAATGTCATCTTGTATCACTTCCCTCGTAGTATTTTTTCTTCAGCTAGGTCCATCATTACATCTTCCAATTGGACTTCGACAACTTCTATCTCCATCCCGTTGTTACCGGGGATTGCCACTTCCGCTTCTAGTTGACTGCCTGGTGCCGCAATCTCAGCGAGTGGTTGAACTACCTACAGTATCAAAGGAAGTCCGTTGTAATGTGTGTATAATAACAATCTCAAATATTATCAGCTTAAATATTCAACATATGTGTCATATACTCATATGTTATATTAAAATGTCTGACTACATATCAATAACATGTGACTTAATATAAGCATATAAAAATCAGCTCACCGATAGGGAATGTAATAAGTACAGCACATTTTGAATAAATAAAAAACATTGTGGAGAGCATATTGTAATCAATTAGTTAGTAACATTTAAACTACACGTTATAGTGAATTGCATTGCAAACCGAATAAAGGTCAATAGCAGTAATTGTTGAATAATTATAGCTGTAATAACATAAGTAATTATTTTACATAAATAAATTTAATTTTAGCCTAGAGAATGTATCCCTTCTGATAATAATGAAAACAATACATTTAAGATACACATAGAGGTGGTGTATAAATGTAAGTGTAAAAAGAACAAAAGTATTATTATGATTAGTTTAATTAAATTATTAGAAAAAATACTTTATTATATTTGAATAGTAATATGAATTGAACAATTGGTATTTCAATGTAAAGTAATTTAATTAATTGTCTATAAGCATGATATTATATTATGTTAATAAATAAAAGACACCGTATGACATTATGTAACAATAATTATTAACTTAATACAAACGCTACAGTCCAAGTTGTGTTCATGTGTGGTTTGGTGTAGTATTGTAACAGTGTCATTCGAATAACTAATAAAAATAGTCATGATACACTCACTAAAGATGGCACAGCTCTTGAGAACAGACGACGATGATGTTGTGTTTCTCCTTCATAATCACGACCTAGTACGAAATGTCTCGAGCACACTTTTGAGTTGGCCAAAATCTGTTGTGCATTTATACCACAGTTCTCGACAAACAACACTCACTGACGTCTTCGGCGGTCATTCGTTGGAAACCTAATTTAACCATTACATTATGAGTAGTTTTGGTGTAATTCTAGTATGAGTTGTTAATAAATTTAGTGTAACCTGTGCAACGAAACTCCATCAACACCGTCGACGTTTCCGCAGATCACATACAATCTAACCATAGTGATGTGCCTTAACTTTGACATTTTAAAGAAAATAATATATAATAGCATCATATTGTAAATGTAATTAATAATTATATTATATGTTAAATAACATCTCTATTTTTATTATTAAAAATATGTAGGATAAATAGTGAATAATAAGCATAATATTATGTATATTTTACGTATACACGACACTCGGCGTCGTTAATCGTTTTATCGTTATTATTAATCTCTGTTGTTATCACTTATCAGTGCCCGATGATATAGCAACACGGGAATTCCATGAGTTTTGTGTTATATTTAGAAAAAGTGTGTATACGGTACACGTCTAATGATGGTACATAATACATATAATGTACACAGGAAACAATGTTTAAGAAATTCTCCAGACTTACGAAACAAAAGCGTAAGAAGAGAATCCAAAAAAATATCGCGGTGAAAAAGCGCGCCGTACGTAACGGGAATGTATTTCAACAAATACCGACCAATGATCTCGGGAAAGAATATAGAAATGATAGAAAACATTGAAATGCAAATAAAAAAACGCGACACCTTCGGGATACCAAGTTTGGATTTTGAGGGAGCACGCTCGGGAAACAATGCATGTCGCTTTTTAAATCAGGTTTTATTTAATAATTAGGTGACTGTAATGATGTATAAGTACACGGGGTGAACAATTAATGTTTTAAATAATAAAAACAAGAATAGTACTCAGTACCCACCAGTCTACAAAACGCCAAACGTAGTAAAAAAAAAAAAGGTAAGAAAAAAAAAAGAGTGCAAATTAGTATAGTAGTATAGTATGCAATTACGTAAAAACGAACATTCCGCAGACGCTCGTCGAAGAAACTAAGAAAGTCACCCGAAGTCGGAGCGGGGAGCCGACCCAGGTCTACTGCGCTCTTCGCCCTCTACTCCGCCATCACATGACAGCGGTATTACCAAATGTTGCCTATCTAATTTAATTTGTTTTCAAAAAGCTTTTTGTCAATGGTCAACGATTTTGACAGACCCGCGGTGTTGGTGATAACATCCGTAAATACGTAAAACGCAAGGCAAAACTAAACGGTGGAAATGTGGAATCACTTCTATAGTTCTATATTTATTTGCCATCGACCAGTGGAAGTGAGTACACGTTACTTTATTATATTTTTCACTTTTATTTTTTTTGTTTTTTTTTTGACAACTTTACTAATGTTAATTTTTCGTCGTAGAATGTTTCAATTTAGAAATTGTACGGTGACGGTGGCTGCAAGCCCCGTCAACAATCAACCATCTTCTGCAATCGTAGCACCTATAAGTATGTATAAATATTGTCAATTATCATTACGTATATATAATGTTAAACATAGTAATGTTGTCCGCTTTTCTTTTTCAGAGTGCTACAGTTGCAGAAAAACTGGCCACCTGGCCCGCCATTATAAGAGTATTTTGTGTATATTATATATGTGATCGTAAGCAATGCATCTAAAATATTATTTATTATGCAGGCAGAAGACCAAAAGTGCAGAGGGACTTGTCCCCCCGCCGGCGTCGTGAAAGGTCCCCCCTCCGGCGGCGACATGGGGCAACACACGCGGGTGCGTACCCAGCCCCACTTCTTATGCGGGACTCGGCTCCCCCCGACGGGGCACCTTAGTTGCGTCCCATTAAAAAGGTATACATGAATTGCGTCCCACTATTTGGGATAGGTAGTAGAATTTTTATTTCGTTTTCAGGGGTTCTCAAAGGTATATTAACTATAAGTAAGCCACCGATGATGTTGCATTTGCAACTTTTTTCTACTTTTTCAATTTATTACCAAGTAAGTTTTNTTATAGCGGACGACGTGCAACGGACGGGTAACACGATGAAGGCAAGCAATCCGAAAACTGTGACTGGGTGTCCAGCGGTCTCTCCTCGTCTGTTGCATTACTGTGCCCCGCTGTATGCCTGGTTCTGTTTTGTTATATTTTGAAATTATTCAAGTGCATACAAATATCTGCTGATATATTTTTAGAGTACATAAATAATTCTAAATAATTTACCACCTAGTGTGGGAGTTGCAGTTAGTTTAAATGCATGTTTGACATTTGATACAAATACATTACAAAATCCGCATCAAGAGAGAAGCACTTAGAGGTTGTCGAATTTCCCCTAAGTCTTAGTAGCAGTACAATAATGATTCTGTTGCTGTTACACCTTCATTGATAAAGTCATTTCTAGTATAATGTTCTGAAATAATACAAATGCATACAAATATCTGCTAATATATTTTTGAGTACATAAATAATTCTAAATAATTTACCATCTAGTGTGCGAGTCGCAGTCAGGTTAAATGCATGTTCGACAACAGTTATGTATTCATTACAAAATCCGCATCTAGAGAAAACCACGTGGAGGTCGTCAAACTTTCTCTCTTCCGCGAGTCATACTTACGACTGCTTATAAACCATATGTCACACAGACTTGTCACTCAGACTTTTGTCAAACAGACTTTTGTCACACAGACTTGAATCACACAGATCCATTTGATCACACAGATAGGATTCAATGTTCATTAAGTTCTGGTAAATGAGTTCTTATAGTCTTTATTGTACAGTTATATCGCATGTAGAACTTCTCTGTAGACAATGTTCTTAGTGACGAATCTACCACGGTCATCACTGTATATACCAACTCTAATGGATTGAGAGTCCCTTACTCGGGAAACCGCTACATACAGTTGTCCGTGCGTGAACACCGGTGATGGCAGGAGCAATCCAACTCTATCAAAAGTTTTTTAACGAGTGATTAGTAATTATAATGTAAACTATAAATTTGTAAACAAAAATGTTGCACTACTGTCTACACGAATGTGTATTCAATGCAATGTTAACCAAAGTTATTTGTTGTATCATATAGAAATACGTAAAAGCAATACCTATACTAATGTAATGTGTGTTCAACACACTACAACTTGAAGTAATATTTTTATTTGATTATACGAATATAGTTTGTTAATGAGTGTGATGTACGCATTTTGCTAGATTATGTATATGTTAATAATTTAAAGTAATATATATTACTCGAAAGCCACCACACATGGATTGATTAGCCATAACAGTCTGTCTAAGTCTGCAAGCAAGTTCTCCAATAGTGGTCGCTCACGTGGCTGTTGTGCCATGCGAATGTGATTTGCTGCCCCGGATTCAATAAAAAATACAACTCGCAATACCTTGCTTGCATTAGTTAATTTCTGACAACATCCATTACTAATCCTACGATACACTTGCCCGTGACCGGAGAATACTCTTGGTCCCTGACCAGGCAAACGTCTTGGGCTCAGATCAGTGGAGAAAGCCGCAAATGCCAGAGTGTTGTTGTACCGGCGGATTTCTTTCCGAAAGTGTTTTGCTACCTCCGAATCATCCACCAACAAACGAATTAATAACTCTGGTGGTGGACTCATAACACGATCTCCTATGACAGCCATTTGAACCGTTATTGCAACACGTAGAAAAATGACCCGTTGAAGTACACTCGCAGGAGAAATGGCGGGAACCACAGTGCCAAATGCCAGCCAGATGGTCTCTCATGGGCGCATGTGCTCTTGGTACAACAGGAGGAATCGGTACGAACTGCAATTAAAATGCACAGTTATTAAGAATATAATGTTATAAATATTTATTTTAATTTTAATAAGATGTATTTACTAACTTCTTCATTGACGTTTGGTAGTAAAACGTCAAGTGCATCCCTGAATTCAAATTCTGCCTCTACGTCAGTAGGAAGTAAATCCACATACTCAATGTCATCTTGTACCACTTCCTCTCGTAGCATTTCTTCTTCAGCTAGGTCCATCATTACATCTTCCACTTGGACTTCGACAACTTTTATCTCCATCCCGTTGTTACCGGTACTGCCACTTCCGCTTCCAGCCTGGAGCCGCAATCTCAAGGAATGGTTGAACTACCTACAGTATCAAAGGAAGTCCGTTGTAATGTATGTATAATAACAATCTCAAATATTATCAGCTTAAATATTCAACGTATATGTGTTGCATGTGTTATTATTATGATGATATTTAACTGCATATCAATGACATGTAACTTCATAAGCATATAAAAATCAGCTCACCGATAGGGAATGTAATAAGTACAACACTTTTATAATTAAATAAAAAACAGTGTGGAGAGCATATTGTAATCAATTAGTAAGTAACATTTAAACTACACGTTATAGTGAATTGCATTGCTGACCGAATAAAGGTCAATAGCAGCAATTGTTGAATAATTATAGCTGTAATAATGTAAGCTATTATTTTACATAAATAAAATGAATTGTAGCCTAGAGAATGTATCCCTTCTGATAATAATGAAAACAATACATTTAAGAAACACATAGAGGTGGTGCATAAATGTAAGTATAAGAAGAACAAAAGTATTATTATGATTAGTTCAATTAAATTATTAGAAAAAAATACTTTATTACCTATATTTGAATAGTAATATGAATTGAACAGTTGGTATTTCAATGTAAAGTAATTTAATTAATTGTGTCTATAAGCATGATATTGTATGTTAATAAATAAATGACACCGTATGACATTATATAATAATAGTTATTAACTTAATACAATTGCTACAGTCTAAGTTGTGTTTATGTGTGGTTTGGTGTAGTATTGTAACAGTGTCATTGGAATACCTAATAAAAATAGTCATGATACACTCACTAAAGATGGCACCGCTCTTGAGAACAGACGACGACGATGTTGTGTTTCTCCAGGGTTTCTCCTTCATAATCAAGACCTAATTTAACCATTACATTATGAGTAGTTTTAGTGTAAGTCTAGTATGAGTTGTTAATAAATTTATTGTAACACGAAACTCCATCAACACCGTCGACGTTTCCGCAGATCACACACAATCTAACCATAGTGATGTGCCTTAACTTCGACATTTTAAAGAAAATAATATATAATAGCATCATATTGTAAACGTAATTAATAATTATATTATATGTTAAATAACATCTGTATTTTTATTATTAAAAATATGTAGGATAAATAGTGAATAATAACTAATAACTATAATATTATGGATATTTTACGCATACACGACACTCGGACTCGGCGTCGTTATATCGTTATTATTAATCACTGTTGTTATCACTTATCAGTGCTCGATTATACGGCAACACGGGAATTTCATGAGTTTTGTGTTATATTTAGAAAAAGTGTGTATACGGCACAGATATAGATAATATATATATTATCTTTATCTGTGGTATACGGTACACGTCTAATGATGGTACATACACAGAAAACAATGTTTAAGAAATTCTCCTGGCTTACAAAACAAAAGCGTAAGAAGAGAATCCAAAAAAATATCGCGGTGAAAAAGCGCGCCGTACGTAACGGGAATGTATTTCAACAACTACTGGCCGATGATCTCGGGAAAGAATGTAGAAATGACATCACACGTTGAAATGTAAATAAAAAAACGCGACACCTTCGAGACACCAAGTTTGGATTTTGAGGGAGCACGCTCGGGAAACAATGCATGTCGCTTTTTAAATCAGGTGTAATTTAATAATTGGGTGACTGTAATGATGTATAAGTACACCATGTCCGAGGCCCGAGTGCTGTGTCGTCGGTGGCCAAAATTCTGGCCACGATGAAGGTGGAAGTGAATAATATTAAACACTTTTATATATAAATATAATATGTAATATACATGTTAGTTATAAATGTTGTTAAATACATTGTTTATAGGATGACGGCTTTGCAGAATGTGGTAAGCTATAAAAAGTTACTGTGTTCTAATTTTTTAGTTCTTTTTATTTTCTAATTCTAATTTGTTTTTGTATATATTTTCAGAATGAATAATATATAATTATTATATACATAACAACAATTATTTATAAGTGTTTTTTTTTTATACATAACCTAACCTAACTTATATTACAAAAAATAACAGATGTTATCATAATTATAAGTTTGCACAACTCTCCTTTAAAATGGAATGCATAGGTTCAAACAAATTATAGCTTTTAGAAGGGCCAGGCCACACATAAGGTGCCTTTACAAGTAGAATCTTTCCTTCACTCCTGGAACGTACGGGTTTGAGCGAGCGAGGACTTGACTGCGCGCAATCCTCTAGTCAAATTGCTGTAAAATTCTTTCCCGCGCGCTTTCCTTCTTTCCATTCGTCCTTCGCTCAAAAACGTTCGTCTAAAGTGTATTCCCAACGTTTTGAAAGCGTGAAAGTGTGGTGCGTGGAGTGTTCGGAATTCCAACAGTTTTGCAGTCGCGTGGAAGTTTTTTAAAGAGTATAAAGCTAAATATTTTTTTTTTAAATAATGAAAATTCGAGAAAACAATCATACTCGTACTATTGCGTTTGTTGTATTGTTTTCAATAATGGATCAAAATCGATCAAAATTGAAACGAGTTCGCAGTGTGTGGGTGAAGGAATATCGGAGGGGTTTTGGTCATTTGACATTAATATCGGAACTACGAGAAAATTACCCAGACGACTTTAAAAATTATTTTCGGATGGGTAGTGCATGTTTTGATATGTTATTAGCATTAGTTGGTCCAAAAATTTGTAAAACCGATACAATAATGAGGAAATGTATGAGTGCAGAAGAACATCTCACAGCAACACTTAGGTAAATATATTTAGGATTTTAGCATTTTAGTCATTACTTGTAATTTATTTTAAAAATAAAAAATTATGAATGTCAAGGTTTCTGGCAACTGGAAGATCTTTTGATGACCTAAAATTCAGTTCAGGAATTTCTGCTCCATCATTAAGTGTACTAATTCCTGAAACATGCAAAGCCATTTTTGAAGTGTTGAAAGAAGAATATATGGAGGTAAAGTATCTATGGCTTATAATATTTGTAAATTATTATGTTATATATTTATATAATTACGGCTGTACGACTGAACTAACTAAAATATTATAGTATTATTAGTATTATATCTAGTAATATCACCTAAATATAATACCTAATATCAAATACTCAACCATGCCCCATATAGGTTAGGTCAACTGTTATTTGTTAAGATGGCATAGATTTATTTAATAACATCATAATTACAATAAAATTATCAAACTTCACTTTACTTTAGAATACAATTACATAACCATAAATGTAGGGAATACATTATTTTTTAGATGGCTTAGGTTTATATTTAATAACATTATAATTTCAATAAGATTATTCAAACTTCAGTTGACTTTACAATATAATTACAATTAAAATAATTAGAATATAATTACAAAACATTGAACATAGGTAATATATTATAGTTACTAGCACTTGTATTTTAGTGTAAAGTGTTAACAATATAATAGATAAATACATTTAATAAATTTAAATCTGGGAATAATTAACAATATGATGTTGGTGACGACTGCCTTGGTATATTGTAATCGTATAACAATTGATAAATCATTAACTTCAATAAAAATTTCAAAATGTACCAAACAGAAATGGTTTTTTTTTAATGTATAACATTGGTTTAATCTATATATATAAGAATCTAACTTGATTTTTAGACGAAGGAAACCGGTTTTGAACCCTCATTATAATAATAATAATAATTAACTAATTACCAATTATTTTCATATATTCACCGATAACGATGCCTGTTTTTTTTTTTATTTTATAATCGTCGTATTATTTGTATAGCCAAAAAATAGTCTTATGTTTTTAAATTAAATTATAAAAAAATAATTTCTTCCGGAGGAAGGTCGGGCAGCTAGTATATTATATTAAAGCATTGATTTAAGTATATATTTATTAATTTTAAATACAGTAACACATAGGTAGGCGCAGAAAAATGTTTCCGTCGCAGGTTAGAATAGTTATAAGAAAACTTTACTTCGTGTAAAGTTAGGTTGACCTAGTCTTTTAGTATTAACCAACTTAATCACATTTTTATTTTACGTTTAAACTTTTAAATGGAAATTATTGATGACTTTTTGAAGTTTCTGAACCTATACTTTCATAAAATGTTTTTAAAATTGTAAGTTGATTGCTGTTTTCTATAAACGATGAATCATCTGTACATGATTCTGAATACACAATGTTGTAGCAGTACATAATCGTAGAATTGGTGTTATCCCAGTCACCACATTGCAGCCCAACACTATTTAATTTCCACAAATTGTATTTTATAGTCATTAGTCATTTTAGATAGAACTGATAGAAGGAAAAACAATGGTTAGGTATAGTCAACAAAATATTATAGACTATTTTATCACAATTTTTACTTATCGTATTATATTTTTAATTTGGCCGTCCAGTGTTAACGATTTGTAGCAGTTGTCAACATCAACATCTAGACTTAAAAAAAAGAAATAAAACAAATCAATGTTAGGGGTGTAAAAAATAAAAATTGTATCTTATATTATTATCACGACTGCCGACTGGGAAACGGAAACTGCATCAAGTAAAAATTATATTCCGCGGAAATTGATCTTTACCCAATCAAAATTGTACCAATGTTCCAAGTTTGTTGCAAGGTGGTTTGCACGAAAGACAACAACAAGATTTGCGGTGAACTGTCAGGCCAGGACGCCGTACGGCGATCGAGACATGTTCTCGTTAGGCCGCAACGACCTGCTTTTCAGCAAGCAATGCTGTTGACGGAACAAGATGATATGATCAACGGCGAAAATTATGACATGCAGCAACAGGCATACAAGCAAGATCAGGTAAAGCAATAAGTAGGTAATAACGCGTTCGAACACGGAACACTTTTGCATTTTTGCTGCCAGCTCTTATCATTAAGACTCCTTCAAGCTGCACTGCGGCCGTAGAAACTTCAATGAACGGCGCTATTCCTCCTAGCGAGCCATCGAGTTCACCGGTGTTCTTACCGCCGGCCCGGTTGTTTAATTGTGAGTGCCGCCGTGAAAATCTCGTGTGATCACGAGACTTGTGTTTTTGTCGTTGCTGCAATCAGCCGGCATCATCGGAATCATAAGCAAGTAATCGATTTTTTGTTTTCCGTCTTAGAGGTTGACCACAACGCAGCGTCGCGTACGTTCACCGCCCTAGTGCCTCCGCAATACTTCGTGTGATCACTATACGTGATAATATCGTATTTGTCATTGTTGTGATCAGCCGACATACCCAATTTGTTAAAATACCTACTTATCAATTATATGATTGTGAGGGCCATCAGGTTTTGCCGGTTTTGGTATCCGTCGTGGTCAGGCCCGGATTAACACTATCGTAGGCCCATCTGCTAATACTGTCCTGTAGGCTGTAGTGTTCAGTATTTAAATGATTAAGAAACATAAATATAATGATTGGGAGAAGTAGTGTTGAATCTCAATGTGATAAGTCTTTAAAAACGAAAATATTTACAACTTGAAAATCATAATGATATTTTACATTTTAAGCACATAATAAGTTCTATTCGTGTTATACATAGTTATGTTATTACTACTTAGTATTACAATAGGAATATTATAAATTTAAAAACAAGTGTACCCCTCATAAGTGGTGTATCCCAATAAGCCATGAAACAGAGGACTATATTTAACAAAAGAAAACGTAATAATAATATTGCGTGTGTGAAATGTTGCAACCCAGAAAGTTCACAAAATCGAAAATACACTCTCGACGGTTTCGAATAATAATGACCAAAAAAATTGTTTTTAGCGAAAATGAAGTTAACCTACTGTAGTACTATTTCCTAAAAGTGAAATGAATTCTTTAATCATAGTAACATCATCAAATATACTAGGTAATATCATATAGGCTGACAGACTATCTACGCTTAGAATAGTTTTTCATGCACAATGATTTTATATCATTGAATTCAAATTCAACATCATTCATTAAAGTGAATCCACTTGGCACTTGTGACCTACTGTACAACAGAGCGATATTGTCTTACACGCTTTTTGAATGAATAACATA